ATTAAATAAATGAGAATCAGGGAAAGTGGTATGTGAAATTCAAATACGAAACCTAAAAAAAAAAAAGAAAACAGATTTATACTAACTTAAAATCAAAATCATTAGACCGAAATCGTAGGGATTATCCCGAACTCTAATGATAACTATGTGAGTTGCCGTAAAATCTCATAATGTAACCAAAAATAGGAAAACAAATCTAACAGTAAACAAAAATGAATTACAAAATCATGTAAATTTGCTCTTCTTTAATCATCACTTGCATACGTGTAATAAAATGATTCGATGATAGTAAGTGGGACATTACACAAGGGCCGGCATGTGTGTCCATGAAATATCTCGCACATTTATTATGAGTTTGCAACTATGCAAGTGGGTTTTATTTTATTGCAAGGTGGTGGTGGTGGCTGATGCATGAATACTCCCTCAACCACTTTTTTAATATTTATCTGTTGGAAAGGAGGAGCAGACAGCAACTTGATTAGCGAGGGTCTTGTCAGCTGTGGCCTTACAGTCCCCCTTCTCTCTTCCTCAATTGGAGCTCTTGATCTCCTGATCATCTTTTCAGTTTTTCTCTGTGTTTCTATCTTCAAGTTTTCTTCTTTTTCTCCACAAGAACATCTTTGTCTGTATCATGCTCATGGATGGTCCTATCTCCCCAAATTTGGACTCAAATGCTTCTGAACTAGTGAATCCAGAAACTCAGGCATCCAAAAGGAGGTGGGTATTTTTGTTTTCTCTCTTCTTTTGCCCCATTTTTTAGTTTGGAATTTTGCAGCATTAGTTTTGTCTCACCTTTTTTTATGATTCTCATGGGCTTTCTTACAGGAAGGTAGTTGAGAAGACTGTTGTTACGGTGAAGATTAATGAAGAAAATGCAGGGAAGCTAAAGAATGAAGGGCTGGCTTCTGATTTATGGTCTTGGAGAAAATATGGGCAAAAACCCATCAAAGGATCTCCTTATCCAAGGTTTATGTCTGCTTTTTAACCTTTAAATTCCTTAATTTTCATGGGTTTTCTTCATATATTTCTCCAAAAAGTACCAAATCCCCAAGATTTCCTTCTTGGGTTATGTTTCCTATAACTGCATGAAATCTTTTGAAGTTGAAAATTGGGGTTTCTTTCAATGGAATGTCTGTTTCCCTCAAATTTGCTATTTTCTCACAAGATTTTATGCTGCAATCTTGCAGGGGATATTACAGGTGCAGCACATCAAAGGGCTGTTCAGCCAAAAAGCAAGTGGAAAGGTGCAGGACAGACGCTTCAGTCCTCGTCATCACTTACACCTCAAGCCATAACCATCCAGGCCCTGATCTCCCTCCCAACACCAAACTGCCCGAAGAAACCCAACCCCAAAATGAAAATCATCCCAACATCTCCAAACCGGAACAAGAACCAGAAGAAATTCAGAAGCAATCCATTGATGAAGATCATTTTCACTACATAAAATCCCCGTTAGGCTCTCCCCAAGGCATCATAATTAACCAAGAAGACCCATTTTCAGAGAATTTAGAGAAACCCCATGAGGCATTTGGATTTCTCCTGGATGAAGAGCCCCTCTCTGCTTGCCCACATCTCATTTCCACATTTTCATCAACAGATTCAACACCAAAATCAGAAGACAATGACTTCTTTGATGAGCTTGAAGAACTGCCCATTTCTCTGGGCTTCACAAGCTTCATGAAGACCAAGTTTTTTGATGAAGAGATTCCTGTTGTCCCCTCTTGATCTTAGTGTTTTTGTGGGTTTTGCAGCCTTAGAAATTTGTAATTAAGATGTTAATATATGATATATTAATATGATATGCCCACTTAGTTTGGCATATCCTAGTTTTTTTCTGTCCCAGGGTAAACAAACTAAAGTTGTATCACTTTGGGATGAAAAAGTTAGTGGGTACTGGATAGATTTGCATTTTATGTGGGAGATCGAGATGGAATTCTCTTTGACAAAAAAAAAAAAAAAAAAAAAAAAACACAAAGATTCATGGTGGCTACCTTTTGGTGGGTGGTTGTCGACTCGACTTGGAACGAGTCTGTTGTCGGAGGTACGTTATTCTTGAAATAAAAAAAAAAAAATTCGAAGCTTTTATCAGCAAGCTGAGGGGTTTTCTCTTGTTTTGATGGACTTGGTGGAAGATGTGTGTGTAGGGGAATTATATTATATTATCAGCTGGGTGAGGGAAATATGGGTGAGGTTCCAGGATTTCGTTTTTGGATAAAGAAGATGTACATTGGCTTTTCTGGTGGATTTTGGGAGTTTTAAGATTCTTTTTCTACAAAATGCCAGAGAGGTATTTCTCTCGTAGGATAGGGAAAGGAGAAGGACAAGATTGACGTTGGCAATCCAACAACCCAAAATTTGTCAATACCACGCGGTAGACTTTCATGGCATTTGAAACTTGAAATTGTCGGTAAAAAATTCCAAATTAACTCTCTCTCATGCAATAGTGAGGTTCATTCGCAATGCTTAAAGGATATTTGTTTTTAAAATATAATGGGATTGGGACTGTTTAGGTTTTTTTTTTTTTTTTTTGGAAATATTTAATAATTGATAATTAATATTTAATGATTAATTATTATTTATAATTTAAAATATTTAATTTATTTAATTAAAATTAATAATTTATAGTTATTTTTTAAAGGTCAAAATAAATACTTTTAATGTCTCTCTCAAATTTAAAATTTTATCAAAGAAAAATTTAAAAATTTCCTTCTAAAATAAGCTTTAAGTAAATTTTAAAAAATTTGAATATATATGATTTTTAGTGTTTTCTTTTAACAAAATTTTAAATTTACGAAAAAATAATACTTGTAAAACAAGTGTATTTTAACTTTTGTCAAATACCTTAAATATCACAAACAACTTATTAGTTTAAGTGAAAGATATTCAATTTCTCTTAAATAAAATTTTGGTATTAAGAGAATTTTTTTTATAAGATATGATATAATTCAATATTAAATTAATTAAAATCTAATGTAGTTATTAAATATTGAGAGATCAATATCAAAAATACAAAAAAATAAAATTGTTTGACTTCAATATCTAATTTACACAGTAAAAAAATAAAAATTGTTTTATATAAGTGTTTGAAATTGACAATTAATACTAATTTTGTTTAATCTTATACATTGATTATTATAAATATTATTAATTTAAATATTCTTATTAATTCAGTTAAGAAAAAGCACTAATTATTAATTTTAAATTATCATATCAATTGCATTAATTTTAAAAAATTGATTTGAGGTTAAAATTAAATATTTAAATTTTCGAAATATCAAGTAGTTTTTTTTTTTAATAAATTTACAAAGAGTCAAAATCAAACCATTATCTTAAAAGTAAAAAAATACATTTATACATAACTTGACGACGCTTGACCTAAAAGCCCAAATGCAAAACATCAAGTAGTGTAACTACTAATGTACCCAAAAAAAATATATACCGTACCAATCTTCGGTCTCTGGCGTTGTTTTGGTACAACGTTCCGCACGTTTGGCATAGGGGAAACAACCACCTGCTGCGCTGGGGGAACATTTAGGCTGTCGTGTCCTTAGACAAGCTCTCTCTCCAGAATATAGAGAGAAATAGAAGGAAAAAAAAAAAAAAAGTGCATGCTAATATCCTAACAATTATTCAGGAAATTTAAATTAACTGTTTATATGCAGCCAATAATAATTTGTATTTAATCATTAATGATTATTATTTATAATTTAAAATATTTAATTTATCCAAGTTTTCAAACATATAAAAACAACACTACCATAACTTTATATATAATCTTAGTAAAACTTTTATTTTTTTAATTAATTTAAAAACAAAATCTTATATCAATTCCTTGAACTTACCTTATATTTTTTTATTAAACTCTTAAATTTTTATTAGAATAAATAAATCTTGAACTTGACCATCTGAATAATTTAACTCTTTTCACTACTATAAATTTAATACTCATTTATGTCATACTAGTACGAATAAAATTAATATCTATTACATAGACAATAACATATCAATGCTTTATCCATATAAACAAGATACAATCGAGTATTAAGTCCATGGTAAAAAAAGATAATTAAATTGCTCAAATTATTAAGTTTAAGAATTTATTTACTTTAATAAAAATATGAAAACTTAATAAAAAAACTGAAGCAAATTTAGGAACTTAACTTCAGGTTTTGCCCTAGTCCAAACCGATAATCTCCAACAATTGTACGATACAGATCCTAAAGGGCAAAATGAGATGGTTAACAGTTTCCAAAATTTTAACCTATTTTTATCAATATCCAATTTGGCTAGAGTAGAGTATAAACATTAAATCGTACACATTTCCAAACAATAGAGATTATTCAGCATTCTAAAATCTGATCATGGGCAAATCTGTCCTTGACCATCTATAGAATGAAGATGTCATTATAGCACCTGGACTCTCCCGGTTGATATTACAATCTGCATTAGCAGCAGCCAGTGTTGGGGGAGCTTGCAGAGGATTTACTATAATGCTGTCACACACTGGATGAGTCATTACTGTCTGCACTAGCAGCAGCTAGTGGTTGGAGAGCCTTCATAGGATTCATGATGACGCCATCAATAAGACCATAGTCCGTGGCTTCTTTGGGGCTCATGAAGAAATCACGGTCAGTATCCTGGTCTATCTTCTCGAAACTTTGACCAGTGTGGTAAGCAAGATACCCGTTTAAGTTTGCTTTATGATATAACATTTCGTTTGCCTAAGAAAAATGTGTAATATACTCAGGGAAATGCCAGGCATAAGGACAAGTGGTGAGCCAAAAAAAGAAGCTAAGAAGTGCACTCCAATTATGACTACAAAAACAGTTGTTACCCATGTACCTTGTGGTAATCCCCAAATGCAAGTAATGACAACAAATACATTAACATACCATCATGGCAAAAAAGACATTCTAACACAAAATTTGAAAAAAAGAAAAAAGTTATATGTCAAAATTTTGGCCATCATATAACAACAACCATGCAACCAATTGAAAAAGAAGACATCAACAAATAAAAAAGGAAAAAGAAGAAATAGATACAGAGAGCAGAGAAAGAAAGAAAGAAGTGCATACCTGGATCTCTACATCAGTTTGTGTACCTTGACCTCCACCCAAAGGCTGATGGATCATTATCCTTGAATTTGGCAAACTATATCTCTTTCCTAGAGACAAGTTGGAAGGAGAGAGGATAAAGATTAGAGAACAAAACTCGGGTAACTGTCCATGGACAGAGCTTTGATCAATACAAAGGACGAGCTATTACCTTTGGTCCCAGCACTCAGAAGAAATGCCCCCATACTATTGATAAAGAAAAAAATACATCAGTTACTAATTTGCAAACCATCGATCTTGCAAGTAAATTGGAAAGCTTATTCTTAGGAAGAAACACATATTTGCTAAATTAGACATCTATTTACAATACAAAAGAACTTTCAAAATCAAATTTTAGACTCTTAATACATTGTTCTCAATAAAGTTGAAAATAATAAAAGCCACACCCCATACCCAAGACTCAATTCCCAAGTATTGAGTACATCACACCATTCTTCAAGTGACTATGTTCTCATCTAATTATCTAAATCATATGCAACAATCATAATGCTAAGAGATTCACAAAATCTTCAAAACTGCCAGAAACTATACACCTTGAATCATCCACAGACTAACAAACCATTCCAGCCTAGTGATTCCATCTCAAATAAGTATACTAATTAAACAACGTCATGCCTTATTTGTGCACCAGTTATAGACTTGTAGTTAACAAGTGCAATGCCGAGCCTAGAGTGAAAGGTTACTACTTACTAGTGGCAATGCAGCATCTCAAATGATTGAGAGACATCAGTGGCGAGACAGACTACTTACAGAGGCATATTTCACTATTAGCAACCTTTTCAATTTCTTGTTGCATTACAGAAGTACATGACATGAAAAAACAGGAAATAACTCTTACCTTGCTGCTAGTCCAACACACACGGTTGACACATCAGGTCGAATATGCCTCATTGTGTCAAATATGGCCATTCCTAGAAAATTAAAAAGAGCAAACAGGTAATTTAATTCTCTGGGTAAATAAAAAGCATGCAAAGACAAATCTACAATTCATAAAAGAAATTACCAGCAGTTACTGAACCTCCAGGAGAGTTGAGATACATTACAATGTCCTGTTTACAAATTGAAACACCCAATCGTAAATAATTTGCAGAGACAGAGATGACACATTGTCCATGGTAGTTAAAGAACATGAGTATAATAGTGTTGGAGTAAAAACTTTGAACACTATTAGTTATGGTGTCTGTGAGATGAGAACATATCTTAATGAATCTGAGAATGACAGACCACCTACTAACCATCAGAAAAGAACACCAGACTGACCTTGTTAGGGTCAACAGCATCAAGATAGAGAAGCTGAGCAACTATAATGTTTGCCATATCATCCTCGACAGCTCCACCACAACGTATTATTCTCTGGTAGTCCAAATGATTACAAAAATCAAAAGCTGATGGCTAGAAACTACTGTTCTTGGACCACAGTAAAAGTCAAAGAAATTTCCTACATGTTGAAAAAGTTGACTAACGACACTCTGGAAGCGTTCTTGCAACATTGGTGACGGCCCCTGTCCTTGGGCATATACAGGAAAGTATGGAGACGATGGGACTTCCAAATCATCCCTATAAAGCCCCAGAACTTGTTTAATCTCTACTCAGTTAAATAAACAATCAACAGCTACACATATGAGCATGAAATTCAACATGACTTATACCTTATGGACCAAATTCCTTGCCGAGAACCACTCTCCGGGGTCCAAATCTCATCAGAGTACATAGCCTTTGGCAGAGCTCTCCTCACATTCTTTTGGTCACTAATGAGCTTCTTCAATTTCCTAAAATCAATAAAATCCTTAATTCTCAACTTAGCACCAAGAAAAAGGGTAAGAAACAACAGGAAAACAAAAAATTTTAGCAGAAATCTTTTACTTCCTTGCAGAAAACCTGTAAAGAGACTAAAATGGTAGAACACTGAAAAATTCACATCTCGAATGAACATAGAGTTGAAATGGTCAATCAAATATCAATAATTCCACTTCAAATCCTCAATAAAAAGCCAAAACCCAAAAAATCCCACTCAACTAGTGGAAACATTCTAGTCACAGCCTCTTCGATTTTGTTAAACCTAATTTCCAATTGCAAAACCCCATTCTTGGTTATTTTGCGCAGCAATAGAAATCTACTTTCCTCCATCCTTGAATTGACAAACTGAAGCTTCAATTAAGCCCTAAAACTTCAAATTCCTACTGTGCATTTTCTACGTAACCAATAAGATAACAAGTTGGAACCAGTACCTGGGACGAAGGGGGTGAAAAGGCAAAGAATGCTTAATTGCGCCGGTATTGATGCCGGAGTTGGGAGAGAACACGAGAGAGTTCATCCTCAGAGAGGAAGCCGGCGTCGACGTGAAACTGAGCGCCATTACTATCGGTAAGTGAATGCCGGAAGTGGTGCCAGATGGCGATTGGGTGTAGGCGGCGGTTCAGTTTTGCAATAAACCGGTGAACAGTGACTCTTTGAGCTCTCTTTCGCCAACAACAAGAATCTTCTCATTTGACCCGTTTTCGCTTTTCGGTCGGGTTCGGTAACCCGATTTTGTTTGTTTGTTTGTTTTTGGTTTCCGTCTGTTATCCGGGCTTCCCCGATTACTCCGGACTCGACCAGCTATGGTGCACCAGAATGATGGGTGGATTTTCCAACGAAAACTGCTGCGTACACAAGATTTCGAACTTAAGATCTTACTTAAATTAAAACAAACCGCTTGCCACTTGATTCAACCCCTCATTGGTGTTTGTTTGCTCGTAAATATCCTCCTTGCTTGTCATTCGTATTTCAGGTATTTGTTCTTCTGAAAAATAAATAAATAAAATAATATAAAACAGAAAAGTCACAATTGCTTTTAGGGTGTGGTAATGTCCAACGATTTATTCGTTAAGATGGTTAAAATTGTGTTAAAAAATATTGATTTTGTTTAATTTAATTTTAAAAATACTTTATAATTAATCAAATAATTAATATTTATTAAATTAAAATTAATTTTTAAATTTATATTTTTAAATATTTTAACTATTTATTACAAAAATTATAAATATCAATTATATTAAATATAATATAAATTGGCCAACATAACTTCACCCTTGCTCTGGGGATGTCTTTCATGCACAACAAGTGTTTGGAAGTGTTAATTTGATGTTTTATTGTTTTATATAATTTAATAATTATATTGATATAATATAATTTTTTAAAAAATAATAATAAATAAATAACATAATTTTTATGATAATAAAATATTTAAAAAACCACAATTACAATACTTTTTAACAACCTCAAACACACTCTTATCACTATAAAAATAAATAGCTTGTTCATGGCTTATTGGGGGAAACTGCGTAATAACTAGTAACAAAAAGGAGAAAATCTGAAATTTTATCATTTTGTTAAGAGCAAATAAGAAAAGTACTAAGAACTATTTCAAACTATGAATACAGTTCTTTTTTTCTTTTTTTATGAATTTAGGGAATTTTGGAAATGGAGAATTAATAGTGTTTGGACGTAAAATCTAAAATTTCATGTCCTAACATTTCCCCTCCAAAATAGGCATAACCACTGGACCATTTAGTATTGGACATGAATGCAGTTCCTTCTTAAAATTTGAAAATTTAGATGAATGAATTCAAGAAGGCTAAAGAAAATTAAAGCAAGGGCCAAACGGTTTTTGTTTTGTTTTGTTTTGTTTGTTGTTTTTTTTTTTAACTCTGATCAGCACCAGAGAAGGTAGATGGTGATGGAACATCCTCCAGAGAGTCATGTAAACCTGGTATCTTGGGAACACAATGCTAGCAGCAAAACGATTTCATGTCTGAATAAAACAAATAAGAGACTCGAGAATCCTTACCAATGTAGCAGCTGACAACATCCGTATATCATATCCTGCTGTTTCAATTCAACATTAAAAAAAAGCAATCTGATTTTCACTAAATTGCACTCCCCACTACCAGCTTCAATCAAAATAAATAAAAAGAAAAATGTGCAGGAGGAGAGACAGCATCAATGGAGATTAGAAATTGGACTGTATCATGTTATGATTGAAAATAACACAACGCAGTCCCAGAAATTCATAAAGAACTGCAACGAAAGGCAATGCAAGTATAAACAGCGGCATGAGAAGATGCTATGCAAAATCTCTTCTACAGTGGGCCTCCTGAAATGCATCAAACCATAGTAACCTGCAACCGTTACATCTACATTTGATCCCATCTATTTCAGGTGTGATCAACCCTCTACTATCCAAGTTAAAGAACTGTGAAGAGATAGTAGCAAATTGAAGGCAAAAAAAAAAGAAAAAAAAATTGTGTATCATTAAATGAACGATGTGTTTTAGCAATTATCAATCCATATAATTTGCTAAATCCTTCTACATTGAGCCGAAACATAATTCCTCATAGTTCAAACCAATCTCTGAAGTTTAAAAAACCAAGATATATCAAAATATAAAATGTGCAGGATTTACTGCATGAATGGAGATCAGGGTTGGATTTTAGGCAACATCAGCTAGTGGCTTCAGTCTGCTGCTGTTTCTGGATTGCCTTGTAGCACTGGAGACTACAGAGAGGTAGCTTTGTTTTTGAATCTCGATACTTGTATGTGTTTGTGCATGATGGACTGGCGCATTTTTCACGTGGAGGAGGATAGCTAAAACATAAACCAATAACCTTCAGATGATGATAAGCAACATAAATATTAAACATCTTAGCATTTGGACGTTGAACTTAAGATTTGCACCAAAAGACAATACCTAATGGGCTTGGAGTCAAAAATACTAGGGAGACCCATCTCTGGGGAAAATGTAACGACAGTTCCTCTAGGACCCATGACCCATCTAACAGTGTTTGCTGCAAGAATCTGTGCATTGGCAGCCTTTTCCTATATCAAATAACGCAAGAAAAATTAAACAAGATAGCTGAAAATGATACATCAAACGTTAAATACAACATTTTCTCAATCCAATAGTAACCTGAGCCAATTCTTCCTGACGCCTTTTCATTTTCTCTTCCCGTTTTTTCCGATTGGAATCTTGACCAAGTATTTTCCTAATAGCCTCTGCCTACCAAACTCAGAACCAGGCACACATGATATCTGGCATGCATATCCAAAATATAAATAAGAAAGAGGAAATGCAAAGCACAAAGATGAACAAACCTCAGATTCCATATTAGCCTTTTCAACTTGCATCCTTCGTCTCTGAGCAGCCTCTGCCTTCTTTAGCTGCTGTTCCACTTCTGTGAGTTTCTCCTTTTGCTCTGCAATCAACAAAATTTACAGTAAAATTGAGAAAAAACAATTAATAGCTACAGGTCTACAACAGAGATCAACACTCACTTCTTGGTGGTGCAGGTGGTAGTCCGTTTGGAAACTCAATTACGCTTGCACCAGGAGCAGCAGAGGCCTCTTTGCTTGACTGAAGAGCCCGTTGACGAGTTGTGAGGGTCACTTCTCTCTTATTCTCCATCAATGCATCAATAGATTCCTTCTTCTGCTTTGATTTTCTCTTACCTCCAAGCTCGCTATCGGAAACCAACTCGTCTTCTTCCTCAGTATCAGTGTCCTCAGATCCCCTCTCTGATCTGGGCTTCTTTTTCCCATCTTTGCCAGACCTTGAAGTACCAAGATTGTCCACATCAGAAACCCTAGAGAATTTCTGCTGTTTCTTCCCTGATTCTTCACCATCTTCTTTGTATGCCAGATTGATCTTTGACGTTTTAAGTTTCTCCAGGTAGCGGATTTCACCATCCTCATCATCTTCACCAAATTCCCCATCTAGCACACGCCTTTTTGGAACCCGTGTGCTCTTACGAACTGCACTTGCCTGGTCTCCTTGTTTCCCAGAGATATTCTTTCCAGACCTCTTTCCCATCAAAGAATCCTCCTTCCCAGGACCAAAACCAAAACCACCTCTTGAGAAATCTTTCCAAGGGATTCCTTGCAAACCAGTACTCTTATCTTGAGGAGAAAGCCAGTCATCTTTATTTCTCTGCAATAAAGACACATTAAATGATTATAAGTTGTATCCAACTCTAAATGGTACTAGAAAATAAACATTCGTTAAGGCCAGATAAAATGAATAAACACTGAAGATATTCAACATAACCTTCCATATATAAATATTTTTTACCATCCAATTATTTAAATCCATGTGTTTACAACCAAGTAATGTGTCCAACAGCTACCAATCTCCCTTCTGGAGGCCATCACAAACAAAATGGGAAAATGGTAATCAACATGAGGCTGGTTTATTAGCCACTGACCTTCTTAATGCTCTAATCTAAATGCTACTACCTCAGGTGAGGAGAAAGAGTCACATTAAGTGATAAAAAGAAAAGCACATATATATGACCCATAGCCAAAGCAAAACCAGAAACAATGGACACATACCTGTAGGCTACTCTTATTTGTAGAAGCCCCACTACCTGGCATACCATTTGCAGCTGAGTTGGCATGAATCATATGTGGAACACCACCAACCTTGACCTTGAGTTTCTTAATCTTGCTCTCATTCACTGACCCATCCAAAGTCCCTCGCTGTGTTGGAATAGGACCTTCATCATTCCTTTCACCATAAATACCAGCATCTCTTGATTCTGATTCCAAGCCTTCTGTCACCTTGCTCATGCTTTTCCAATTAGCTGGGGCAAGTACACCCTCACTAGAACGCTTACTGTTGGATCCACTTCTTCCTGGATCATTATTGTAGAATGCATTGAATTCTCCATCCCTCTCCTTACTCTCCTTACGTAATTTTTCACCTTCAACTCCAACAGCAGAAGAAAATAAGGAAACACATTGATTAAGACTGAACTCTTTCCTCTTATGATTAGTATCATAATCAGCATTCTCATCACTAGAAACCTTGCCCGCATCATCTGAAGGTGTTGCTGATGACAAGGGTGAATGATCACAACTTTCAGAAAAAGGCTGTGATTCAGGCCGAGGACGACGAGAAGTTCGACTCCTCCTCTTCCTCACAGCAGTGTTGATGCCAACAAACTCTTCCATCTAATTCTACTGATGCAAATACTTCTCAGTTGATGAAGTAAGCAGAAACTGTAACAAGCATGCTCCAACCCTCCAGCTGATATCACAAGGCAGAAACAAGAAACAATGAGTTAACATTGGACAAATCTACATGATAATACATCAAATCCCATTATAAAGAGGAGTTGGATGATAAAACGTTCAGGACTTAATATCTATAAATCTATATTAAAACTCAAGTAAACAAGAGGTTAATAAATTCAAAGGAATAAATTTCAAGTAAGACAAAAAGATGAATAGAACGCTAAAGCCTACTACTACAACAGAAAATAAACAATTTCCAACCAAATCAAAATCCAAATGATAAAAACTATAGCTTTCAATGAAATTCTATGCGAACAACCCAAATCAAACATTCCCTAGTTGGAAAACCCCACAATTCAAACCAACCTATTACTCAACAAAGTGAATTAACCTAGAAGTCACTACCAATCCAGATAACACATGAATCGAACCCCCAGAACCACATATCAATCCACCAACAAAACTGACAGAGAGACATTCCAATTTCCTTATACACAATCACCAACGATGCAGACCCACTAATCCCCACAAACAAACCTCAAAACAGGATCAATCAACAACAAACCCAGATAGAAAAAAGCACAAGAAACTCAAAACCCAGATGCAGACTGTTACCTTCTCGCAAAAACTCGATACCCAGATGCTCTCCAACGAAAAAACCAAGTACCCTGAAGAGGGGATGAGAAGGGATGAACACCAAGAGGAAGAAAACAAAAGCAAGGTATGTGAAAAAATCGGTTTTTGGTTGTAGAATCTGGGGAAAAGGGGGTTAAAAAGACAGTGTCTTAGGGTAACAATGATGAGGAGAATGAGAGAGGAGAGAGATGGGTAAAGGAGAGGAGGACTTAATAGCTTCTTGTTCACCATTTTTTGCTATTTCCACACGCCCCCGCAGGTAATGTTTGGGGATTTTGGTTTTAGGCTTTTTTGGCCCCTTGTCTTCCCTTTGTTGATTGGGTCACTCAGGTTCACCCACCCGAGTCGTGACTCGCCAAAACCAAACTCAACTCAGTCCGTCTCGTTCTCGTTCGTTCTTTGTTCTCTCTCTCTAGAGTTTCCCTTTCTTTCCTTTCCTCTTCCTACACACGGTTACGCTGCAAAAGTGTGCGCATGATAAGACCCAGCGCACCCAAAAAGCTCACGATAGCGGCGAGCGCTGTTCTGTCTTTTATTCTGGGTCATGTGCCACGTGTCAATAATTTTTTTATATTTATAAACGAAAGGTTCTTAATTTCCAAATAGATCCTTGTATTTTCTCATATATTTATGAATGCCTCCTTACTGGTTTCTAATTGCAGGTAGAGACGTAAGGAAATAATTTTGCAAGAAATTTTCTTCATGCTATAAGGATATTACCAACTCGATATGAATTTGAATCCAAACACTACTTATATGAAGCTTTGTAGTGCTAGATAGGCAAGAGTGGTATTAGTAATTGGTTTTAAATTTTTGTTTTTTGTTTTTTTTTTTATCAATTTTTGTGATTGTAAATTTTTAAGGGTTAGGTGTTAGTTACTAGGTTGCCATAAAAAATTTCAAGTGAGAATTACTTAGTAATTTAAGGGTAAAAATATTATTATGAGCTTTCCAAATTTGATTAGATTTGCCTCATGAGTATCACATGTAAAAATTACTATATAAGCCAAGAAAGATTTAAAAAAGTGATATCATCTACTATCACAAATTAAATTTAAGTTTGGTTTTGACATTTATACATATAAAAAAAGTTACTTGCGACAACAATCATAATGAAAAGTGTATCTATGATGTTGTCCTTCAACAAGGGTTTGAATAACAATGACAATATTGTTGTAATTATTTTTTATTCTCAAATTTTTATTATTTAGAAAAGAATATATCCCAATGATTTAGTAATAATCTTTGTATATAATTTTTTTATAACTACCCAAAATATATAAAAAAGTTGAATTTAACATATGATTTAAAAAAAAGATGGATTTGACATCTCAAAAGTTACTAGTAGGAAATATTGCTGAATGTGTGTGCATGCCTATTTACTCATGCATGCTAAGTTCAGAGGCTGGTTTTGCCCTTTTGCCAAGAATCATGTTTGCGTAAGCGACAATTTTTAGCATGAATTTTTTTTTTTTTTTGTCTGGATGCATAATTTAGAAATAACACTCTTGTTCTTTTATGCATTTCTCTCACAAGTTTTCAACTTTTTTTTTTTTTTTTGAAACAGTTTTTAACTTAAATTTAAAACTTCTTATCTTATAGGAAAGTGATAATTATTAAATGAGAATTATATCATGATTTTGTTTGTGGATATATATTGCCAAATATTAATGATTTTTTTATTAATTTTTAGCATTTAAAAATTATGTTGGATTTTGATTAATTTAAAATAAAATCACATCAAATTTCACTTCCTAACGGTTTAATTTTTTACTCAAAAAATTTAAATTCAAAACATGATTTAAGGAGAATTAAATTTTTTTTTTTTACTTGGACTAACAGATGGTTAATTTGAAGATCAATGATTAGATAGGGTAACTACTTCTCTATTTTGTACACTTATCATTTAATAATTTATATTATACAATTCAATTTATATAATTGATCAATTTAATTCAAACTATACAATACTTTTTCACTATTTATATTTCAATTAACGTCTCAGTGCATTTTTCTTTCAATGTCCAAACCTCCCCCTCGTCAATTCATAAGTATGAAAATTTTTCAGACTTTCTCACTTAGATGCCCAAAAAATTGTTCCATTGAATGTAAACAATTAACTTTCCTGCAAACTCTAAGCGCGAATCAAATCCACACCGGAGGACAAATTGTTAGCAACCATCTTCCTTAGCACCTCGTTCGTGCGAGCCAGTGGCGATTTGATTCCAGCTTTAACGAATGCATCCTCACAAACATCCACATTGATGATCGATGTTGTAGCTGAGTTCGCCGTTGATTGTGAAAAAGTCATGAGCTTCAATGGCGTCCAGGGTGTTCCTGTTGCTTTTGAGTACGGCCCTGTAGCTCTTCATACATGTTTCGAGGCAAGATTTGTATGCCGGGTTGGAATCCGTTGAGGGTTCGTTGTAGAGCTTCTCGGCAAGAGCTATGGCTTACTTGGCCTTGTCATAGGTTAGTTTCACCGAGACTTTGAGGACCATAGTGGTTCTGGTTTTGGGGTCATTGTTTGCCATGACGAAGGGCATGAGAGTGTTGGTGCACACCTTGGGATGGTCCTTATCGGAACAGAGCTTTTTGAGAGCGGGATTTGCTCTCATCTCGTCAGTAGTCTTTTGAGATCTTGTTCCCCAGTCATGAAGAACCGGGAGCCGGGAGGAGCTGCTCGTTGGTTGTGATGTAAACGGTCCAAGGCTAGAATGGGGTGCGGCAGCTTGATTTTTGGCTTTGATTTGGCTAGAATGAGGCAGCGCTGCATGATCGGTCGCATCGACGGAAGAGGACGATAGACATGAGAGGGCCATGAGGAGGAGCATGAAAATCAAATTCTTTAGTCCCACAGTGTTTTCTCCCCCTTTTTTTATTTGAAAAAGTACGTAGTTTTAGGGAAGTATAGAAGAAAGGTGGAATTGGGAGAATGAGACTGATGAAGGGATTTGAATCATTTGATGGCAGAGTTCGTGCTAATTTTAGTGTGTAGTTATTTTGCCATTTTTTTTAGGATCGAATTAAACTTTCTTGGCTGTAAATATTTGTTTGGAGAGAAATGGACTTAAGACCAAGTGAAATATTGTATTGAGATCTTTATGTATGTTCCTTAATCAACAAAATGAGATTATTTTTAATTTGACAATGATATAATTATAATGTTAGATAAAATTTTAAATTTACAATTATAATATTTTCTTAAAAAATAATTAGATGATATCATTTAATAGTATCAATTCATCACATATTTGTTTGGTCTTCTTAACTGCTATTACCTATAAGTCAAGAAAAAAAAAATAATGGAGCAAATAGAGGTGGCAACAATAAAGAAAATCAAATGAACAAGTATGGGATCGATGAAATTAAATGATGTCATCCATCAAATAAAGGTTAATTTTAGGGTTGGGCATGGTACGATATGGTAACCGTAACGCATTCAAATGATGGTAATCGTTTTAAATGGTAATAAAAAAGAGTTACCATTTCCATACCAATTGATGATTTTTTGGTAATGACTGTCAATCATTTTTAATGATAATGAAACTTGCTTTACCAATAACATACCATATTACCATCTTTAAACTTATTTTCTTCATTATCAATTAATTCAAGTCATTCAAAATTCAATCTTAAAAGCTCAAAATTGTTTTAAAAACTTATTTTCTCCATACCGTTCTTCATCATCTTGAAGCATACAAATATATAATTATACAAAACATGCACACATCAAAAAAAGAAAAAAAAACTAGCAACAATTGAAAACTTTGTAGAATAAAAAAAAAAGAGGAAAAAGTTTTGAATGAGTGGTAAATTTGGTAACCATATGGTAAAAATAGTAATGACTTCCAATACCAATACTGTACCACAGGTCTAAATGGTATTGCCATATTATCATTTAAATTTACCATATAATAATTTATCATACCGTTTCCGCTAGTAATGGGACGGTACAATGGTAATTGTGGCATTTATGGTATAGTGCCCAGCCCTAGTTAAATTACTGAAATCAATAACTGAAGAGAATTTAACTAATTGAAATTGTGAGAATAAATAAAAAAAATTTGGTTTGAAATGGCACGATGCCCAAGATGGATTTTGTCACCATTCATATGAATCTCATTCTATTTTGGTTGCAAAAATTTAAATAATACTTTAAAATAAAAAATTAAATAATCAAAATGTTTTAAAACCCTTTACTTCACAAATTGTTGATTTTAATTTTTAATTTTTAGCTTTTAATTTTCAACTTCATCATTTAAATTCTAAAAACAACTACTTCACTAAACATGTGCTTAATTTCAGTTTTTGCAATAACAAAATCATTTCAAAATTTAAGTTTAACTTTTGCTATGTGGTAGTAAGTATTAGTATATACACACAAGTAAACTCCAAATTTTATTTATATACCGAATTAAAGAAAGAATACCATCAACATTAACAAGCAATGTCGAGGAGTTGCATCTTCCCAACCCGGTATCAATCCCTCCCCCAGGTCCTCCCCAAGTTGCAAAAAATAAAAAAAAATAGCAATGTCGAAACTTCCTCCCATTTTTTGATTGATCCTATTGTTTAATTTTAGAATTTTGTAAATATTTTTAGAACTTGACCAAATCAATGCCGATGGCCAAATTGTTGCTAACCATCTTCCCCAGCAAATCGTCGACGTGTGCCATTGGCGAATCAATTTGAGCTTCAACAAACGCCTCGTCACAGGTATCGACGTTGTCGATGGCGGTGCTGAGCTCGGTGTTCAACGAGAAAACGTCCACGGCAGCGATGGCATCAAGAATCTTATGGTTGCTTTCTATGATGGCCTTGTAGCTGTCGATGCAAGTCTCCAGGCAGGACTTGTAGAGCGGATCGGAGGCAACAGCGTGGAGTTTCTTCGCCACAGCAAATCCTTGATTGGCGCAGTCGTTGGTAGCTTGCACTGCAGCTTCGAGAACTGAAATGGGGTCCAAGCTCTTGCCTTCCAAGGTGTAGGGGATGAGGGTGCTAATACATTCCCCGGGGTGATCGGTGTCGGCACAGATACTTTTGAGCATTGGAGCTGCATCTATTTTGTCAATGCCCCGTGGTTCCAAAGGCTGAATGAATCGCGAGGAGCTGCCCCTTCCTGGGGTTGGGGAAGGGGCGAGGCTGGAAATGGGAGCGGAAGCGGGGACCAATTTGGCATCGACATGGGATGAAGAGAAGATACAGGAGAGGGAGATGAGAAGGAGGACTCCAGTGGAATTCTTTAGCCCCATATTGTCTCTTCGTCGATACCAAATTGAGCAACCTGGAAGAAGGATTGGGTGGAATTACTAATAATCAAGAGATTTAAGGGAAGAGTTTCTTCTAATTTTAGCATGGTGGTTTTTTTTGTACCAGTTTTTTGCCATAGATTAATTAACTAATAACTTCTTTTTTGGGGGGGTTCTAAACTGCAAAGGAAAAACCAAGAATATTTGTTTTGGAGTGAAATTGAATTTACCAATAAAATAAAAATATAAAGGAGGTTGGATTAATTGTTTAAATTCAACCTATAGTTAATAACTATTATTTAATAATTCATAATAATTATTATTTATAATTAAAATATTTAATTTATTTGATAAAAACTAACATTGATAATTGTTTTCAAAACTCTTAAATAAACACCTCTTTTATGTTGTAACACTAATGTTAATGTTTGTTAGAAAATTTTAAACTGTGTCAATTTAGTAAATAAACATATATCTCACCAAAACTATGCTAATAAAATAAATAATAAGCATGATTAATAGAAAAGAAGATCATCAACATCGTATGATTTGTCACAAGAGCTTACTTCACAAAGAAAGGATAAAATAAAATTAAGCAAGATAAAAGTTATAATGTGAAACAAAATTTTTTAAATACAAAATTGACATCCTGAACGTAAAAAAGAATATATACAATAAAAAAAACATATTTAATTTTATACTTTTAATGATTATTAAAATGAAATTTTAAACTTTTTTAAAAACTAATTTAGGTGTGATTATTATTGTTGTTCGTAAGGTCAAGGTTATTAAAAAGTATACAATATTATCTTTAAAAATATAAGTTTTATTTAATTTAATTGATAAAAATTATTAATATTTATAATTATTAATTAATAAATAATTAAATAATTAAAATTATTAATTAATAAATTTAAATCTGTCAATAAACTAATATTATTTTTAGACACCATTTAAGAAGAAAGAAAAAGTTGATGACTTTACCATTTTATATTGTTGTCATAACCCTACCCAAATAATTCTCCACTCATTCTTTCAAGACTAATGAAATTAACGGTTTTTCAAAAACCAATGTAATAAACCACATTAAAAACAGAAGTGGCTATTGAACCTATAAGCATTTTTTCTAGGATCCTTTTTTTTAGAAACTATTTTTTAGGCTTATAATCATTTATAAATCATTATAATCGATGTTGTCTTTTTTACCCTAAAAAGTTACTTTCCAAATTAAGCCAAAGCCATAAATAGTAAATACTTCAGCATCCTCTAAATACATTTTTCTAAAAAAGTCTAAAACAAATATTCTTAAACAGAAAATCAAACTCTTAGACTTAATGAATTATCTCTAAATTATAATGTTTAGATTTAATTAATTAAAAATTCAACTCCTATTAAGTTTTTAAAAAATTCTTCATTTTCCTATAATTTCACATGTTCAAAAAATAAAAAAATCTCAAATGTCAACATTTTCTCACGCAACCTTTTAGGTCACGCCCTACGATATCAACAATCTCATTTGTAGTTTCAACACTTACGTTCAAGGCTCCCTTTTTTTTTTTTTTTTTTTTTTTGTGATATAAAATCCAAGCCACAAACGCAACATAATTTAAAGGGGAAAAAAGGAGAAGAAATTGTTTGCATCACTCCACTCTAAGGTAGAATGGAAGATGATAAATAACATCACAATTAATTAGCTTTTGTGTATATCCTTTTTGCATATGCTTAAAAAATTAGAGATAGCAATTTTATAGTCTAATTTATGCAAATTACATATTTTATAATTATTGATCAATGAGAGATTATCTTAATTTGAGATATATATTAACAAATTCTGCCTTTATCAATGGTTATGAACGTGCACTATATATATTGTATTTCTGCAAAAAAAAAAAAAAAATTCATTACAGGAAATTACATTTTAACTGAATCATTATAAAAAAAAAAAAGGGGTAAAATCCTTTGTGCATATTCTTCATCGATAGTTTATGCACCATTCAAATATTGGAATTCACCTGCAATAACTACGTCCGACATTAAAAACTAGCAATGGCGAAGCTTCCACCTTATTCACAGTTCTGAAAACCAGAAAACTTTCCTCCTTGTCTAATTACCCTGAACCAAATCCATGCCAAAGCCCAAATTGTTGACAACCATCTTCCCCAGCACCTCATTGATGCGAGTCAGAGGCGATTTGATTCCTTCTGCCATGAACGCGTCCTCACAAATATCGATGTAGTTGACGTTAGCACTAAGCTCTTTGTTCATCGTGAAAAAGTCATCCGCGGCGACGGCGTCGAGTGTAACCCGGTTGCTTATGAGGATAGCCTTGTAACTCTTAACACAAGTTAGGAGGCAGGCTGTGAGCTTCGGCGAAGTGTGTACTGAGGGATCCGCGAGGAGCTTCTCCGCAAGAGCCTGGCCTTCCCTGGCCTGGTCGTATGTGAGCTTCACTGCCAGTTGGAGGATTGCCGCAGGCTTGGATTTGGAATCACCTTCTTCAATGTATGGCATGAGAGTGTCAACACATACTCTTGGATGGTCCTTCTCTGAACAGAGGCTTTTTACCGTGGGATTTGCATTCATGTCGTTGATATTTTGTCCTTGTTCTGAAGAAATGAAGTATCGCGAGGAGTCGTAGCCGGCTCCTTGCGATGGTGATGGGGTGGGGCTGGAATTTGGCACGGCTGTGGGACTAGTAGCCGCTTTGGCATTGACGGAGGAGAAGAAGAGACAGGAGATGGAGATAAGAAGTACGAAATTGAAATTCCTTGGCCCCATATTGCCTCTTCTTTATTTATTTTTATATATATTTTTTGCTTTGATGTGAAAAAACTGAAGTCCTCAGATAGGGCCGACTAGGAGAATGAGAAAGACGGAGATTTAAAGGCAAAGCTTCTTGCTAATTTTAGAGTAGTAGTTATTTGACCATTTATTTAGGATTCATTTGTGAGGTAAGTACTCTTGGCCATGAATGTATTGTTTGGAGAGTGTTAGAGCTAGGACCAAGTAAAATAACATTCTTACAGTTGTTCGTGAAGATTTAAGAGTATATGGAGCCTGAGATTTGGCCTCAACAGCTAAAACTCAAGATCGAGGTGATGAAGAAAAGAATAAGATGAATACGGATTAAATATAACCCCTCGAGGCAATACAACAAAATAAGCTACGTGGCTTATGTACACTCAAAATTTGATGCACCATGTCGAGATCCACTGTCCAGGGGAAACTTAACAGTGGTTCTGGTTCTCTAAAGACAAGCACCCATTCCCCACCCATCAATTTTGAGAAAACAATGACGTTTATTAAAATCCTATCCTATTCCAAACTAATCAATTTCAATGAGAGTATTCGTAAAACACTTACTTCTTAAGGGGGTGCTCATCGTCCTTCATGAAGATCTTCTGAGGCAGTTGCAGTCCGCGAAAAGTTGTCATTGTCAAAGGCACTTAGACCAGAGCAAGGACCAGAAGAGAACATGGAGGATGTACCATCAGACTCAAAAGTCGTGGATGACTGTCTCAGGTTGGGATGGGCATTGGAAAAAGATGACGTGGAGTGCTGGTACTCTGTGACACGCTGAACCATTTTCAGTGACTGTACCACTTCTCCCATTGTGGGCCTCTGATTTGCTTCAGGAGCCACACAAGCAGCTGCAATTGTGCACACCCGTACAAAATCTTCCTTTGGGTACTTCCCCCCAAGCCTTGAATCTGCAAGATCTTCCAGGCGATTCTTGTCTCTTAGAATTGGCCGTGCCTGAAAGCAATATTGCCCACTTGTAATAATATTCTTTTAAATCAACATGGTCTTAATCTTTGTAAATGAACAAATGGCAGAAGATAGGATGTAGAAATATGAATGGTGGCTATGTAACAAATAAGAGGGGTTGATGCAGGTTGTACTAACCCAAGTTACAAGGTTCTCTTGTCCTGATGGTTGTGACATATCCACAGGCTTCCTTCCAGTCAGCAACTCAAGAAGGACAACTCCATAGCTATAAACATCACTCTTTACCAGTAGATGCCCAGTCATAGCATACTCAGGGGCCACATACCTAAAAATCAATCACATCTTATCTTAGTTCCAGTTTAAACAGAAGTTAATGGATGAGGTTGGAGAGAAACCAACCCAAAAGTTCCCATCACGCGAGTAGACAGGTAATTTGTTCTGCCTTCAGGAGCTTGTTTGGCAAGGCCAAAATCAGCAACTTTAGCATGGAAGTTATTCTCGAGCAGTATATTTGATGCCTTGAAATCTCTATGGATAACACATGGCTGTGAGTCCTCATGCAGGTAAGCAAGTCCTCTTGCAGCATCAAGGGCAATCTTCATTCTTGTATCCCAATCCAAAGGACAATTTACTCCCAAGGGACCTGAGACAAAACAGGACCAAAGTTAATATCATACATCAAAGATTTGCTGAAGAAGTGCAAGATCTGCTGCTCCTTTCTCTCTCTCTTTCTTTGATTTTTTTTGAGCCTAAATATCTACCATTACTTCAATAGCAACCAACATTGCATTAAGAGTAACTCCAGTTAAAAAAGGACAATATTAAAGAATAAGATGCTTGTAGGACATATAGTATTAAACAGCATTTACCATGGAGCCACGCCTCTAAGCTTCCATTTGGAACAAGTTCATAACAAAGTAGGTTCTGTGAAGAATCGCGATTAGTATAATAACCTATGAGTTTCACAAGATTACGGTGATGCAACCTGCTAAGCATCTCAACCTCCACCAAGAACTCTTTATCCCCTTGCGGCCCTCCACTTGTTAGCCTTTTAATTGCCACAGCAGTACCATCTTTTAAAACACCCCTGAATACTCGGCCAAACCCACCTTCACCAAGGATGCTTGCAAGTTCAAAGTTGTTTGTTGCTTCTTTAAGTTCTTCATATGCTATAAACCTTGTACTGCTTGGGTGGGGAATGGATCCTGCTGTTGGTACAGCATCTGCACTTCTTGGCTTGACTGTCAAGAGAAGATGAAAACCCAAAAAGATTCAATACACTTCCATATTAAACAACAATACAGACAAATTACATTTATTAATAAGATGAAATTCAAAGTTAATTATCAAAAAAAGGAATACAGAAAACTGAAAATAATTTTTGATTCTGTTGCATGCTAGGTACCAGCACTAGCAAATTCTACTGTAATCACAGAATGTATGATAGACTGATTCCCCCGGCTGAAGTATATTACTAGTCTGAGAAGGCCCAACAGTCCCACAGTCCCACAAAGTGTATTCAATTCTCAAAATGACCATCCAAAAACTAATGAAATCAATGCAAAGGTAAATATTTATTTTTTAAGTGAAAGATTTTTCAAGGTAGCAAACTCTGGGAGAATACTAAATCGGTGATTCCTGCATTCTCTTAAAACTTGAGTGCTGCTATCTAATAATTCGTGATCCATTTCATCTTTTCCAACTTCAATGTGTCATTCAATTATATCATATGGGACAAAAGAATATTGGCTTCATTTTATGCAGAGAGATACTAAAAAGAATGATTCAGGGAACTTTTTCATTCTTTCTTCTTCATTTATAACTGAGTAAACAAGACTTTGGAAGACACTTTCAATGATCAGCCATACAATTATCCTACAAAACTACGTTTAGAAAAACTTGTTTTCTACTGCCATATTTCGTCAAAACATACAATGCAAGCAAACTAAAAAGCCACTTCACTCTTAGATTCAACATGCAGAATTTTATTCACACATTCAACATGTAGATTTTCTATTTGCATTTTTTTTCCTTTTTTTGGAAAAACTTAAGAAAGAAAATTCTTAATAAATAAATCCAGAGAGACAGCATAAAATTGCAGTACTTATTATAAGGCTTCATATGCATACCAGTTTCCCCAGGAGATGCTTCAGTTTCTCCCTCACGGAATGCTCGTGAGCAAATTATAAGCACAGAGATAATAGCAACAACCAGTAAGCCAGCAGAAATCCCAAAAATAAGAATCAGGTTGGAATGATTTCCTTTCTTTGAAACATTGAGTGGTGTAGAAGTTGAGGAGTGATATGCAGGTGCTTCTACAGGCTCCGGAGCTAAGGTGGGAGCTGTATTCCAAAAGCAAGCAAGCAAGCAACAGGGATGGCACATCAAGATTATCCACTAATGTAATTTAATAATAGAAATTCAAGGTTATAATAAAACAGAAGCCTCAAGGGTCGCATAAATCAGTAAGATACAACATTGTAGCTGTCAAAAATAATTCCTTATTTAAAATGATAGCAACTAAAAGCCACATGCCACCAAAAAAACCAAAGCATTTTAGATTCACAATTACAATCATAGATGAATTGGTAGCTTATGACAATATACCTTGAGAAGGTGCAGGTGGGGCAAACCAGGTAAGATTCAGGAGTTTATAATTGCCAATAACTTTTGGGTCAAATTTAACCCTATGTGAGGCAAGTTTAGAGTTTATTGCAGACGCATTGCTGGCCGAGAAACCAATCCCCATGCTTGGAACAATATCCATTGAAATATTTAATTTTGATAAGCTGACTAAATAAAAATTGTTTAGCTCAATTTGAGAAACTTGCAAATCAAGCTGGAAAGCTAATTGATTTAGAAAAATATTCCAATCTGGGCTTTGTGAGACATTTAAAAGGAGAAGATCAATCTTTATGGGATACACACAATGGCAACCATGACTCCCTCGTTTCAAAACTGTGTCTGGCTTGCAACAATCTGGCAGAATGACAAAATACCCATTCATTTAAGTATCTCATATGAAGTTCAAGTTTGTTTAATAAATATAACTATTTCTTTCTTTTCAGTAAATAAACAAGCATTTAATAACAATAAAAAAGGTTGAAGAAACAAATAATTAAGAAACCATCTTACTTGAGGCATCAGGAGATAATGGCGGTTGAGCTAAACCAGCAGGAAGTGCACCAGAACCAGACCGTGATGGGGCAATATTTGCCAAACCAGCACTGGAAGGCACTAAAGCACTTCTCTTCTTCAATGGTTTCGACAAATGTGGGCTTGTTGGGGGATGACTAGAAGTAATTAGTGGACCATAGGAAGGAGGATGGGCTGGTGCTAACGCGTGAGGTGGGTAATGCCTGTGTTTTGATCTATGCAACCGTGGTGGATTAACTGGCAGGGGAATATCAGGAACAGCTGCTGCAGCCTGGGGTGTGCCAGCAGGATATGGTGTTGCTGTGTCGACTAGATTATTAGCCAAGCTAGCATCAGTGACATAAATAGCATAACATAGAGCAAAAGCAAGTTTCAGCAAAACAGACTGGATCTTTCTCGATGCTCCTGCAATTTTTATTTGAAGTAAAATCAATCAGCTGAGGAAAGAGAAATGTCTGAGATGATGATGATAACGCAAATTTCAACCTCTAGATTATCTAAGAACCCCAACAACCAAATAACAATGCCAATAGCCTTAGGACTCAAAAGGAATGTCAATTCATATATCCCCAAATGCAAGTAAAATCCTGTGTTCATTGATGATTGCTATTCACTTTCAATGACCTACAGCTATGAGCTAAAATCTTACACTAATATCCAACATTTAAAAGAAAAATAAATCCCAATGAACATTTTCCTTTTCCTTCCCTTTACTCATGTTCCAAAGAGTTGAAAAGTGAAACAGAAAAGCTTTAGAGGACAAAAACAAAATTTTGGAATTTCATTCTATTTAATTTTTATGATTAAAGATTCTTAACATAACAGCTTATCCTAAAAGAGCACTTTGAATTAAATTATTCTTTGGAAATAAAAGAGGAAAAGTAAAAAAGGAAAGATTTTAGAGCTCCCTTTCATTGTCTGCAATTTTCTAGGCAGCCAAACGGAGAAAGAGATTCAAATTTCTCAAGTTCTAATGTTTTCTTCTTTCATTATTTGGCACTTTCTTAGCAACCAACCGCATCTTTAGAAAACAAGAAGATGAAAGTATAAGCATAATGAATTAAACTTACTTCTAGCATTCAAAACAGCGAAAGCCGACATCACCGACTTCGTGGATTCAACCTCGACGAGTTAGATCTGCGATATTCCAACAAAACCAACGGCGAGATCACGCCTCTAACCAGCATAAGAACTAAACACTAAAAGGCAATACAAGCAAAACCCGTTCGCAACAGCCAGCAAAAGAGGACTCAGCGTCGGAGATAACGTCGCGAAAACCAGAACTCAGAAACGAGCCGGAGTCAGAATCACCAATGCTAAGCTTTCAATCGACGAACTTGAGCTTGAAGCAGCCGAAGTCCGAACGAGAAACGGACCGGAGAGGGTTTTCGCAGGCGACTGTGTGGCCGGACTCCGGAGGATATAGTTGGCTTGAGTAAGCTTACCAAACCGGAGAAGTTTTTGGTTTTGGTTTTGGTTTTACCATTTTTTTTTTCCTTTTATATTTTGTTTTTGTTGCTTTTCGATTTTCGGTAAGGGAGCGGATTGCGGATGTGTCTATTTTTTTTTTTTAATTTATGTTTAATTAACGGAAAAAACAAATTAACGGTAAAATAAGTTGTCACCTTTTCAGGTCAGGAATCACGATTTCAGTGAAAGCTTTTAGCCGTTTGATTGACGCTGACAAATTTTTTAGTTTATCTTGTGAGGATAGAATGTTTTGATTTACATTTAAGGACTTTTGCTCTCTCCTTTCTTACATATCTTTATTATTAATTCATATAAAAATTATAAAATTAATTTTTTAATATTAATTTTATGTGAAATATTTTAATCAAATAATTAATAAAATTAAAACAAAGTTTTATTTTTTTATATAAATTAATAATAAAAGGTGTAATAAGAAAATTTTCATATTTAAAGTAGTGGAGTGTGTGCATTCTTATCAAAAAGAATTATGAATGTAAGTTTATGAGAACCACGACAATAGTTCAGTAATTATATTAAATTATAAAATAAAAATTATTAAATAGAGAAAGGTTAAATGTTATGAGCTCAACTCCTATTTAATAGTTACTATTGTACAGTTTGATACAATTTAAACTACACGACATTTTTTCTCAAATTTATAGAGAGAAAATTGAAAATTATGATTTGTTGATATTTGAAATATTAAAATTATCTTCGAAATTATTCAACTATGCTTAATAAATATTTGTTGTATGTCAATTTATTAAAGGTATTTAAGTGCTTTTATGAATATTGTTGACATTTTAATTGTTAATTTGATTTCTTTCAATCACATTTATGAAATAAAATCTTTATGAAAAGTGTTCTATTAATGAATATTATTAATTTCATTGAAGGGATTTATAGCTTTGTTGTAAAGGGTTTCTTATCTCTTCTTAAAAGTTTGTTGGGAAGGGATAATTTCATTTTTGGGCTAAAGATACAACAAATATATTATTTTGTTAGGAATTTATACAAGAAATAAAATGTGTTTATGTTAATTCACATTTACACAAATAAAAATAAATTTTACAAGAAGTTTGCTCCATATTGTAAATCTTATTATCAATTTTATATATAAGTGTAAATCTTGTGATTTTTAATCAACATTCAACATAGTTGAGAGCAAGCATTTTGACCAACCATTTTTTTTAGTTGGTGTTGGTAGAATTGACCCACCAAGCTACATGGTACAATCCATTTGGTATATAAAAAGTTTGAAATAATTGAGAGCAAGCATCTTGACCAACCTTTTTTTTAAGTTGGTTTTGGTAGAATTAACCAACCAAAGTTACATGGTACAATCCAATAGGTATATAAAAAGTTTGAAATAGTATATTATGTAATTTAAATTATATTGAAATGTATAACAAAAATAATTGTATAAAGACCAAACTCTTTAACATTAAAAGTTATCTCCATTTCAATAATTACTATTTTATAATTTGATACAGTTTGAATTAAAAAAAAAAAAATAAAAAACACTAGCCTTTAAAAGTTTGTAATTTAATTTACGAGATTGCTTCCTCGATGTTCAAACCAACTGGCATGCATGGTTACTTAAGTCGCGACACGTGAGAGCACATATGGTATAGGTTCGAATCTGGAAAATTACCACATTCCCCTTCTCCCTTAAAAAATAGTAGGTATTGTTATAATTGCCATATTAAAAAAGAAAAAAAAAAGAATTATTAGGTAATGTTGCAAATATAAGAGAAGTTATTTAATTTAATTTATGAATGCTGACTAGGCGAATATCACTTACATTCAATACATAAATAGATTTCCCACCCATCATTTATATATTTAGAAAATGTTGTAGCGTGGATTTCGTTATTTTTAATTATTGATAGAGGAAAGAACACTCATGATTAGAGGCAGTCTCTTTTATCAATAGTTAAGTAACTATAACCTATATAGTATGTACTAGACTTCACTTATATATATAATTACAAAATTTATTTATATAAAAATTTTATACATTAAATTTACATAAAATTTTAATTATTTATCATGTTATTTTTAATAATTGAGATTTATCATATTTTTTAAGTAAAAAATAATTATTTTTAATAAATATGAATAAATGTTAATTACTAAAAATAAAAAAATGATTAAAATTTTATATAAGTATAATATATAAATTTTGTGTATAAATATTAAAGTGGATTGCACATGTATTGAGTTAAAATCTCAAATACCATGGTCCATCCCTCTATCAATTTATTTGAAGTAATACTGCACTTCACTTTTCTGATCCATTTAAGGATGATGGGTAATTCAAATTCAACATTAGAAAGAATGGAACATGTATCGTACTGAGTTAAAATCTCAAATATTTGTCAATATCAAACCAAATAAACTTTCGGCCAAAAGTAAAAACCAAATAAAATTATGAATAATTTAATTAATTTAATGATAATTATTTTTATTAAAAATAAAAAAATTTAAATTTAAATCACATGATATGTAAATAAAAAGAGATAAAATATAAAAAAATTATTTTTTATTATACAATTAATATTAAAAAAAACAAATAAAGCTATTTTATAATTTTATATTAGCAAAGAAAAATTTATGATTAAAAAACGTGGCATACGCGGCGACCACGAATCTGGAGATAGGGCTCCAACTAACCTCATTGCAATCAGAACAAGACTCTTTTTTTAAACATGTTGAAAATGACATTTCACTTCATGATTTTTGTTTGGAAGTTAGCAGCAACACGTTGGAGGGGATACAAATCCAACAAAAGCACGTGCAAGATATATAATTCTAGGGGATAAGAAAATTAAAACATTTTGGTATTAAAAATATTAAGGTATTAAAAATATTAAGGTATTTAATAAAATTAAATTTTTATTATATTTTATATATTTAATAATTATAATTAAAATATAATAATATTTTTAATATTAATATGTTCTGATTTTTTTTTTCTAATTATATTACATGTACATGCACGAGGACAATTAATCGACGCAGAGCCATGAAAACGACAACACACCAAACTATCGGATCTAGAAATGCAAGAAAATCTAAAAATATCTAAGCGAGGAATGTACATTAGAACCCATGGCCTAGCCGTTCAATTGTTTTTTTTTTCTTCTAAGATGGTTAGAAATTTAGTAAGAATTAATAGTTAATAACTGGTTCTCAGGTCAAGTGAATATTTCACCCTTTAAATGAGGCGCACAACTATCAAATCGCTTTTTGATGAAATTCATGACGATAATAAAACTTAAAATTTCGGTCATTTCATCCAAACATTTAAGGTTTGGGGTTAAACCATTGGACTTAAAAACTTGGGTAGCTGTTCAATTGTTATTTTTCCTCAATTACGTTCGCTCATCTTGGAGAAAATATCTTCCTATTTTTTTTCACAACATTATCTTGTACTACTATGAGAGAATAAGATAATTGAGCATAGCTTGCCGACTGTAACCATTGTTTTCGATTCTCCTCTGCTTGGTCTCAATGCTTTCCTTGAAAGAATTATATGTTAGGCGTAACGATTCTTATGTTATTAAATAGTTAATTCTTTCAATTATACAAAAAAAAAAAAAACCATGAGTTTACTGTAATTTTTTCCAACAAAATAGAGTATGAGTCTACTAATATTACATTGTCTGTTTGTTTATTTATTATTCTTGTATCTAAAGATATATGTATGCTTTATACAAAAATAGATGTAATATTCTTTAATAACTTATCTGATCAAATTTATTACCGTTTAATAATAAATATGATTAATGTTTATAAATCTCATTTTATTAGATATATATTCTCTAATGACATATATCATTAATCAATATTTGCAAAAAGATAAAAAAAAAAAAAAAAAAAATAAATTGTAATGTATAATGCTTATCCATTTACTTCACATGAGAAAACTAATTAAGGAAGTGAAGACCATTCCCTATTTTCAAAAAAAAATAAAATAAAATAAAGCAAGTGAAGAGGGAAACATCAAATGAATGTAATGTACCTTCGTGCTGACTTTCATGCCTTATTTACGTACAAGTGAAAGAGATGTGTAATGTGTAGTCCACGTGGCCCAAAGTGCACTAATTGTGCTCTCCTCCTTCAGTTGGATGCTTTAATTTTTTTTTTTTTTAAAGAAGAAAATTGATCTGGGAATTTGGACTGGACTCTGTTGATTATTAGTCCATGAATTTTTGGTCCAAAAGCCCATGAGTTTGTTAAGGGTCACACATGTGGACTTCTTTAACTGATGGGCCTTTCCCTACACCGATCCACACAGTCAAAGTTCGGAATCGGCCACCTCAGCCGCCCTCACCAGGGCGCAACAAGAAGACCTCAAAGCTTTGTATAGTTATAGTTTTTGGTTTTTTAATTAATTAATTAATTAATTGTAAATTTTACAATTTAAAATAAAGAATTTATTTTCTTTTATCATTTTTTATTATCATTTTTTACAATGTATTATAATAATTATTAGATAAATAAATATAAAAATAGTTTTGATACTATTTAAGTTAATATTTTTTGTTATAATTGTTAGATATCTTCTTAAAGAACTTCTTAGTTTTTAGTTTTAATTTTAGCTTTTAATCATTAAAAAATCAAAAAATTGTTTTATAATAATTTTAAAAAAATCAACACATTTTAACATCAAAATATCTAATTATAACCATTAATTATATGAGATATATTGTGATTCTTAATTTTATTTGATAATTATAAAATATCTTAATATTTTTAATATTAAGATATATTAATTTTTTTATTTTAAAATAATATAATTTTAAATTATTTTTTTACTTAATAATTTATTTTTTTAACTAATCTCTTAAAAATTTAAAAATCATATTAAATTTTAACTAATTTAGATCAATCAATGTTAAAAAAATTCCTCATAAACTCAAATTCAAAATCTTAATAAAAAAAAATCAAGGTTTTTTACACAGATCATTAATCACTTAATATTTTATAATAAAAACTAATACTCACTTTTCTTTAACATTATTTCAACAATTTCATATTTATTCATAACATTATAATTTAGTGCTCCTATTTTTAATTGTGAGGGGTCCGATTTCCACTTTTTTGTGTTTTTTTTTTTCCCTTTCTTATTTATCCATTGATTTCTAAAACCTTCTGAACTGTAACTTCAGAATAGCTTTGGTATCCTCGATCCTCAGCTCAAACCCTTGCAAATTAGGGTTTCTGATCTAAATCGCAACCATGTCGAAGCGCAAATTCGGATTCGAAGGATTCGGGATAAACCGCCAGGCGACATACAACTTCGAGCGCTCACAAGCTCCGCAGCGTCTCTATGTCCCTCCTTCGTCTCGCCGCAGCCACGACAATTACGAGGACACCGATCTCGACAACATTGATTACGCTGATAATGATCATTCTAAAGGAGAGGAAAACCCAAGCGGTAACGGAAATGGTGCGGAAGACGATGAGATTGACCCTCTGGATGCGTTCATGGAGGGTATTCAGGAGGATTTGAAGGCGGCGCCGGAGCCTAAGCTGAAGGAGAAGGCGGAGAGGTTCAAGGACGATGATGATGATGATGATCCAATTGAGAGCTTTCTGAGGGCGAAGAAGGATTTGGGACTTACACTGGCTGCTGATGCGCTGCATGCTGGGTATGACTCTGACGAGGAAGTTTATGCAGCTGCTAAGGCTGTGGATGCAGGCATGCTGGAGTACGATTCTGATGATAATCCGGTGGTTTTGGACAAGAGGAAAATTGAGCCCATTCCAGCTCTTGATCATAGCTCCATTGACTACGAGCCCTTCAATAAGGACTTTTATGAGGAGAAGGCTTCGATTTCAGGTGAGTTATAGTGTGTCTGATAATGTCTTAGTGCATATATTTTGTTTACAAGTAGCTTCAATTTATATTGCCTTTTTCCCTTGATGGTTCTCTTTTTGATTCTCACGTTTGTACTGTTCTTTTTGAGTTTTGTTTTGCTTACTTCTGTGTACTTTAGAGACTCGGTCAGTGTAAAGTTTTCTTCTTTTTTCTGAAAAGCATATTATATATCTGAGAGCAAACTTTTGAACTTGGCAGCTGTCTTCTGAGTTCAAAGTATATAATTTGGCTGGTCTTTGGCATGTTGAGCTAAAAATTTATTCTGAAATTAGATCAATGTCTTAAGAGATTTCCAGAAACTTTAATTTGGATTTCTTCTTGGTGCTGGAGAAGTATTGGCTACAGGATACTATTTGAGCAAGAGTTTTTTGTTTTACTTGGTTGTTGACATGCATAGTCATTATCTGAACATGATTAAGAACGTTAAAGCTGTATTGTTAATTTGGATATGTTGGTTAAATATAAATTACTCATTATGAATTTTAGGATGGTTTAGAGTTGAAATAAAATAAAAATAAAATGCTTGTAAAATTCTACTTTCTTCTATATGACCATTGAATAGGATTCCACTGATGTGGAAATCATAGTGATGTTGTTGATATTTAATGGCTATAATATTTATTATTTTTGTTATTTTTAAGTTAAATCTGCACCTAAATGGCTAAATCTTTGTTGTTTTCCTTCCACAGGAATGAGTGAGCAGGAAGTTGCTGAATACCGAAAGAGTTTGGCTATTCGTGTTTCAGGTTTTGATGTCCCAAGGCCAATTAAGACATTCGAGGACTGTGGGTTTTCTCGAGAATTAATGCATGCCATTGTAAAACAAGCATATGAAAAGCCAACAGCGATTCAATGCCAAGCTTTACCGATTGTTCTCTCTGGGACGGATATTATTGGTATAGCAAAAACTGGTTCAGGTAAAACTGCTTCGTTTGTGCTTCCAATGATTGTTCATATCATGGATCAGCCTGAACTTCAGAAAGAAGAAGGTCCAATTGGAGTGATATGTGCACCTACTAGAGAACTAGCGCATCAAATATACTTGGAAACAAAGAAATTTGCTAAATCACATGGGATACGTGCCTCTGCTGTTTATGGTGGAATGTCCAAGCTTGATCAGTTCAAGGAACTGAAGGCTGGATGTGATATAGTTGTTGCTACACCAGGTCGATTGATAGACATGCTAAAGATGAAGGCATTGACAATGAAGAGAGCAACTTATTTGGTACTTGATGAAGCTGATCGTATGTTTGACCTTGGATTTGAGCCTCAAATAAGATCCATAGTTGGTCAGATTAGGCCAGATCGCCAGACTTTACTCTTTTCAGCAACAATGCCCCGCAAAGTTGAGAAATTAGCTAGGGAAATTCTCACTGATCCAGTAAGAGTTACTGTGGGAGAGGTGGGAATGGCTAATGAAGATATTACTCAGGTTGTTCACGTAATTCCTTCTGATGCTGAGAAGTTGCCCTGGCTTCTTGAAAAGCTGCCTGGGATGATTGATGATGGGGATGTTTTAGTGTTTGCTTCTAAGAAAGCTTCTGTAGATGAGATTGAATCACAACTGGTTCAGAAGGGATTTAAAGTTGCTGCTCTTCATGGTGACAAAGACCAGGCTTCTCGTATGGAAATTCTGCAAAAGTTCAAATCAGGCTTCTATCATGTTCTTGTGGCTACTGATGTTGCTGCTCGTGGTCTTGACATCAAATCAATCAAGTCTGTGGTGAACTTTGACATTGCAAAGGACATGGACATGCATGTGCATCGTATTGGCCGAACAGGTCGTGCTGGTGACAAAGATGGGATTGCATATACGCTTATAACTCAAAAGGAGGCACGCTTTGCTGGTGAATTGGTTAATAGCTTGATTGCTGCTGGTCAGAATGTGTCAATGGAATTGATGGATCTTGCTATGAAGGTAATTCAAACTTATTCCTGATGATTAGAATTGTATTTATTGGTTTTCTTGTATCTTTCAACTTTCAAGGTATCAAGCTTGTGCACGGAGGCCTTAGTTTCACTTAAAAAACTTGACATCTCTTGTTTTCTTTTGAATGGGGCTGTTTTATTTAGTACAAAAATAAACAACATGATTTGTAATCTAAAATTTAGGGTGATCTTTTGGTAAATTCTCATTTGTCCTGGAAGATATTTGATATCCTTGAAAAGAGGAACACTTTGGTGTTGATCTAGTAAGATTTAGAGTGAATTCTCTTTACATGCATAGGAGAGAAATTTGAGAAACCATTTGAGCCCTATTTCATGGTTTTGAAGTTACAAGTGATGTGTTATTATGTAATTTTTGTACCCTTCATGCTTAGATACAGTTGTTGGTGAATAAGAAAAGCATGAAAAAGCTGGAGTTTCTGGCAGATGATCTGACCAATATATATATTGCTTTTGCCATTGCAACTTGCAAGTTATTTATTTGTTCTGTAATCAATTTTTTAGGTGTTCTTTTTCCAACTTACAATTTATTGCATGGGGACATGCACTTCCTTAGGTGTCTTTGGAATTTTGATATATTGCTGTTGGATTTAATGTATGTGTACCATTATTATTGAGTGACATTTCTCTTGTACATAACTAGGATGGGAGATTCAGGTCCAAGCGTGACTCAAGAAAAGGAGGTATGGTTTTCCTATAGCATGGCAGTGCATTTGTTAGGGACATGCTTATGTAAATTTCAAAAAAGCTTCTTTAAACTTTCGGAAGGGCCAGATGTTTAGAACTTCAGGCAGATGGTTTACCTGCTACTTTTGATGCCTTTTCAAAATGATTTGTTGTTTCTGGATTTAGAGAAAGGTAGTTTAGCTCTCTACATAATCTTTTCCATTCCATGCAGGTGGAAAGAAGGGAAGAGGAAGGGGTGGTGGTCGAGGTGTGCGCGGAGTTGACTTTGGTTTGGGCATTGGATATAATTCAGAATCCAACAATTCTTCGTCTCATTCTGTTCAAAGTAGATCTGCTGCTGTAAATTCTCTGAGGACTGGCATGATGGCACAATTCAAGAGTAACTTTGTCGCTGCTTCATCAAACTCTCAAGGCCAGGGTTTTAATAACAGTTCAAGTGCTTATCCCAACAACAAACCAACATTAGCTGGATTTGTATCTGGTGGTACAATTGGTGGAGATATAAATAGAATGCAGACAGCCAGTTCATTCAGTCCTGCTCCTGCATCAGGAGCTAACATGACTTTACAGAATTCTGGAGAAAACACTGGTCAGAAGAACTCAGAGAGGTCACTTTCCTCAGATTAACTTGTGCAAATGTTAGTTCTTGGTGCTCATTTTCTAAATTTTATGCTGATTAAGTTCATTTCTTTGTTTCTCTTTTGGCAGTTCCAGAGATAGACCTAGAGAAAGGCGAAGGCCCTCTGGTTGGGACCGTTGACATGCAGGATACTGCACTTTTAAAAATGGAACTTTTATCATCTTAGTCAGATCTTGATATGTTTGTCTGTATAATAATTCCTGCATAGTAAGTCCTCTTTCTTCCTTCTTCTTGGTTCCCTATCATGTACGATTTTCACATTTTTAGTTCTAAATTAACCAATATCGGCCTGTTAATGCTTTCTCTGGCTTCGTTCTCTCCATTATATCCGATGGAATGAGTTGATAGTTTTTATTAACGGTTAAAACTTCTAGAATAGTAGATCCTTAATGTATTTTTGATTTACCCTAAATTACATCGGCAAGTATCAGACATTCAGACTTGGCTTTCGCATGACTTCATAGGAGTTGTGTCACTCTTGTCTGGTTTTGACTAAGCATTATGAAAGTGCATGGTCCTTTCCGGATTGTAGGGAGCTGCCTTTTCAGGCTGCCTGGCTTTGGATTGTCTTCTAAATCATAGAAGTTAGAAAGTGGCTTAATACTTTATCACTGAAATGCAGCAGTGGAAAGTACCAGCAAGGAGTTAGAACTCACAGCAACATGCAATTCCACTTTCGCTGCAAATCTAATCTACTGAAAAAGAGCTTGGAAATTGGATTTCCTAGGAAAAAATGGGGCCTCAATATTTGAACAGGGTTTGACATGTAACATATACATATGCCGTCGGCTACCAACTCTACTTTTTGAATTTATCCACTTATCCATTTTGGTCTCATTTTAATTTTCATTGAATTTGCACAATCAGAAATTTTGTTCTCTGATTGGGTGAGTGCTAGTTGCTAGTCAATGCTAATGTATGCTAAAGATAATTTTGCTAGATAATGAAATTGATTACTTCCTCTGTTCCTAATTACTGTCTTTTTAGGTGAGAAAATTTCTTCCAATTTAATTGTCATTTGAGGAAATCAATGCTGCATTAATTACATTTTTGCTAATTTTACCCTGTCACTAACCCATAAATGCAATAGTATTTAGGTTTAGAGATTTTAAATGAGGAGAAAATTTGGGGTTAAAATAGTATTATAACCTTATTTAACCAAAAATCAAGACTAATTAATCTTAATCCTTGTGAAATGGACTAACCGTCATTGTACTTCTGTTTTTTTTTTTTTTTTTTCGATGCACAGGAAAGTAAAATAGTACTAACTCCTACAGTACATAACAGGTCCCTGCAATGTCTCCTTGGAGAGTAAATTCTATGCCCGATGGTGGAGCCTGATAGAAATTGTACTTCTTCTGTTGTATAATAATATTCATTTTTTCATTTAAACTCATGATCTAGCCTAATTAACAAAATCTTCTTTCCTACTTATCCTCTACTTTAATTATCTTATCTTTTTTTATATTTTTAAGAGTAATCTGATACAAACATAAATTGGTTGTAAATCATTAATATGAACAAACTGAAAAAATAAACAATTATTATTTTGGGATGAATTGTTCTCGATTTAATTTTTTTATAGAACATAGAGATTTATATTGAAAAATAAAAAGAGATTACATCATATCTTTTTATATTATGGTATTATTACTTAAAACTGAAGTATAATTTATAGCATTAGTTATATAGTTAAATTATATCTATGACAAGTCTAAACAATTAGAAAATCATTTGCAATTAGAGATTAAAAGCAATTGCTATAAAAGCAAAACACAAAACTACTAAAATAAGAAGATTATCCTATTTAATGGTCAAAACATTTTGAAAATCCCATTGAACTTGTCTACTTTAGAAAGAGTAGATAATTTTAACAAGTGACAATTTTCACCCACTAACTGTTGGTTCTTTCCTAAGTCAAATAGATCTTAATCTTCCATTCACTTGTGGTCTATGACACTATCCACAATCTCTGCCTTCAATCTATCAGCCTCCTTTGAATCCAATCTCCTTTGCCACCACCAGCTAATCGATCCAATTTTGAGAACACTAAATTCATTGTACCATTCCAAAAGAAATGAAAAAAGAGGTGATTGCCCAAACTATTGTGCTCATTTATTACTACCTAATGAGTCATCTAACTTGTTTTCTAACATCTATGAACAAGGTGAATGTTAGAATTTTAAACTTCTTTATTGACAAATAGCGCTTTGTAAAAAGGAAAAAAAAAAAAAAACTCCTTTGTAATTGAAGTTAGAAAAGGGGCCATGATTATGGCCAACCAAGAAAATTTAAAAGTGGCACAAAAATAATAAAAGTATACTTAGTTTAATTATTAAAAAAATTAATATTTATAAATATTAATTATTAATAAATAAAACAATTAATATTTATCAACAACTTAAATAATTCAGTAATAATCTTCTTCCGCAGAAAGTAAAAGTTCTTAAATTCGAGTCGTATAACATACTGTTAGGATGAGATAAAAGATAAGAGAAAATTACTTTTCATTATACAAATAACATTAAAGTAAAAAAAAGTTTAAAATCCTCAAACAACTTGGCAGCTGTAAATTGATAAACCCAGACAAACTTAACAAATCTAGCGGTATTTGGTGTGGCTATAACATGGACCAGGAAAGGGTGTGACGCAGCGTTTTAGCAGAAGGGATGGAAGGCAATGAATCGGCGTCGTTTACATCGCCACATAAAACGCTGCGTTTTAGGAGTGTTACGCCTGTAACGGCAATAATAAACCCTAACAAAAATGAAAACCAAAAACCCTCTGGTTGTTGATACTAACAGAAGGGAGGAAGGGATTCAGAGTGAAGAGGATGAACATTAGCCGTCTGATTCCGTCGGGATCATGGTTGGTGAGACAACTCTGCACGGCGGCGAAGTGGTCGGCGCCAAGGAGAACCATGTTGTATTCGAGACTGTCGGCTTTGGGCGCCAAGGGCGGGACCGTGGCTCAGGCGCTAAATGACTTCTTAATGGAGGGCAAACAGATCAGGAAAGATGAACTCACTAGTTGCATCAAGGAGCTCCGCAAGTACGGTCGCTACCAGCACGCCCTCGACGTACGCCACTGTTTGCCTCCCTAACCTTCTCTTTGAGTTTATACTGCTATTCTCTTCTTTGTGTCTAATAATCAGATTGATATAATCGGTGGAACGAAGATATGAAATGTAGAAAATGGTTCTTGGTTTTCAATAATATTTTTTGTTTTAACATCAATTTTCTGATTCTTCAGGAGCTTGAACACCCTTGTTGACATTTTTTAGTTTTTCTAAACAGTAAAGTAGCGCAGACTGCACTTCACTTAACCTTTGATGGAGGGGCGGCCCCTGATATTGGATCCAACCCTCCATCAATGGTTAACTGGACAGACTGTGAAACAGTATTTTGCTTCTCTGAAAGGGTTTAATATGCAGTGTAACATGGTTATGTTAAAATATAAGTATAGATTAAGTGTGCCTCCTTTAAAATAAGAATGGGTTGAATGTGCGCATATTACTTTTCTTTACATGTTTTTGGTTACTCTTATGCAGATATTTGACTGGATGGAGAGGAGGAAAGTGAACTTTTCGTCCAAGGATCATGCCATTCGTATGGGTCTTATAGCAAAAACTACTGGAATTGATGCCACGGAGAATTACTTTAGTTGTCTTCCTCAACTTGCTAAAAATCAGTTCACCTATGGTGCCCTTTTAAGTTGTTATTGCAGTGAACTACTGACTGACAAAGCATTAGCTCACTTTGAGGAGATGAATCAATTGCAGTATATCAACAATTCTTTACCTTTCAACAACCTCATGAGCATGTATTTGAAATTGGGTGAATACAATAAGGTGCCTGCTCTTGTAGATGAAATGAAGAGGAGAGACATTTCCCTGGAGACCTATACCTGTAATTTGTGGATGCAGAGCTATGGATGTTTGAATGATATTGAAGGAGTAGAGAGAGTTCTGGAGGAGATGGCAAACAACAGCAAGTTGAAATGGGATTGGACCACATATAGTAATGTGGCTGCGATCTATGTCAAGGCTGGGCAGTTTGAGAAAGCTGAGTCATCTCTTAAGAAGTTGGAAAAAAGTTCAGAGTCTCTTGAGCGTGAGGCTTACCATTTTCTGATTAGCTTGTACGCTGGCACTTCTAATCTAGTTGAGGTCAAGAGGGTGTGGGAAGCTCTGAAGGGTGCATTTTCCTTAGTTACAAACACAAGCTATCTTATTGTGCTTCAGGCTCTTGCTAAACTAAACGATCTTGATGGATTGAAGGAATGCTTCAAGGAGTGGGAATCCAATTGCTCTAGTTATGATCCGAGGCTTGCAGTCACTGTTGTACGTGCTTATCTACAGCAGGACATGATTGAAGAAGCCGAACGGGTTTTTGAGAATGCTGTTAATAGAAAAAAAGGGTCTTTCTTCAAACTGAGATTGACATTCATGGCTTATTTCTTGAAGAAACAGCAACAGGACTTGGCTCTGGAGCATATGGAAGTTGCTATGTCTGAACTGAAGGACAACAACAGGCAACTGGCTCCAGAAACTTTGACTGCATTTTTTGATTATTTCATGAAAGAGAACGATGTTGCTGGTGTGGAAGAGTTCTGCAAGATGTTGAAGAATTTAAATCGTCTCAATTCGGATGCCTTCCACTCGTTGACAGAAACTTACATAGCTGCTGGTAAAGTGGCTCCGGATATTCAGCAGAGATTTCAAGAGATGATTGTCAAGGTTTGCCCTATGTAGTTTAGCCATATCCAGCTCTTTCTTATTGTACCATTTAGTTGGCATGGACATTGATTCATTGAATATTTATTTTAGAATATGAAACTTTCTGTTAATTGTTTTAGCAGAATATTTTGACTGGTTGAAAAGGAAATTTGATATTACAATTGGGGGAAAAACAAAGCACAGGTAAAACAGCACATATAATAGAAAAGATTGATATGCTTTAAAATAAGAGTATGGAAGAAGGATATTTGCTGGTGTATTCTTGACAAAAATTATAGATACATTCTGAATTTCA